GGTCCGTCCAGCCCACTGCCTGGCGGTCCCTATTTTTGAATCTGCAGTCTTGCCAAGCCGTGGCCTGTGGCTCCGGCAGGGAGGTGGCCAGCTCGGTGGTGCTGAGTGCTGGTTTCTGTAGTTCAACTCTCGTGGTTCTTCAAAGGTCCTCTCAGTAGCCGCTGGGTCCTAGAGAGCGCCCAGGGACTCTGTCTCAGCCGTCGCGAGAAGAAAAAACGGGGCGGTGGGGGGTAGCTGTGTGGTGACAGACGCCAACTTCCTGGGGCGGGTCTGTGGCGTGCACACACAGCACACCGTTACGTCGTGCCCCCGAAAGCAACCACATGGTACGCGTTGCTTATAGTTCAACTGATCACCAAACAAAACAGAACAAAAGACCAAAACTGGATTCACTCGCTCCTCCTGTTTTTATGGCCCTACCAGGTGCCAGGCTCTGTGCCAGGTGCTCCCCGGCCGGCACAGACAGGGCGGCCGTAGACGCCGGTGGAGTGGGCAGCCTTTGCGTGTCCAGCTGCAGCCGCAGTCAGAGCTGCGAGGAAGCTGTGCCTGAGCAGCCAGGAGAGCACAGCAGAGAGCCGTCGCGGCTCGGGGCGGGGCGGCGGGGGGGTCTCCCCACGGCAGTGCCGCTGAGCTGAGACCCCCGGAGCAGCTGGGGAGGACAGACGCCCAGGGACACACGGACGCCCAGGGACACAGTGTCGTTCCGCGGGCAGGGCTCAGCGTGCGGGCACTCTCGGACACAGGAGGAGCAGAGTGAGCGAAAGGAAAGGACAGGAGGGCGGTGGGTTTGGAGGACAGAGACGGAGTGGGGAGGGGAACGGGGAAGCGGCCTGGAGGAGGGAAATGGGGAATTGTGGGTTGCACCCCGTCAAGGTGAAGACGCTTATGGGATATCCGGGAGCGGAGACACCCAGTGAGCCGGAGGGTATGCTCCTGTCTCTCGGAGTGGAATGTGGTCTGGGAAGTGAACACTATTCGGTCTTGGGTACTTCCAGCCACTCGGCCCCTTGCCCTCCTGCCGCAGGTGCTTGCTGACCTCCGAACTCCTGCCCCAACCCTGCGGTTACCGAGCAACCACCTCCTCTTCCTCCCGGCACCTCAGGGCTTCCCCTCCCTCGGGCTTCTGCTCTGGCCCCCTCTCTGGCGTCCCCTGGCGTCTGCCCACCGCCGTCTGCCCGAGGGGGCACTGACTGGCCCTCTCAGCTCTGGGAGGGGGCCCTGGGGAGGACGTTCCCATCCTCCCCCCGTTTCAGGGCTGCCGGCCCGTGGAATCAGGCAGTTATCGTGGCCACACAGTACGGCGAATCCGCTGACACTCACTGACTCGTGTGCTTTAAAGGGACGACTTTCACACTGTGTGACTGACATGTTGATTGTTAGTAACCCTAGGACCTAGTCAGTTGTTCTGTGACGTGTTGTGATGCTTGGAGTTAGAAAAGCTGGGTCACATTTGCTCGTGGGGTAGTCTTCGCCTTCCATCTCCAGGACCAGGAGAAGCTGTGTCTCCTAAGTTGCTGTGAAAATCAGATGAGCCAGTGCATGTGACAATAGGCCTAGCTGTATGAAGACACATAAGGTTTCTCCGTTGTCGTGGTTACGGCATCGTCTGGAAACCCCTTATTTTACCCACGCGTTTATAAAGCAGCTTCTGCGTGGGTTGCTATTGTTGCGGCCCTTGAGGGAATCCTGGAGTCAGAGGAATCCCCAACAGTCATGGCGAAGGGGTGGAGGGTTTCCCGGCTGCTGACCCTGCAGCCCAGCCCGGCCGTGGGCAAAACTGGGAAGCAGTGGACACGGGTGTCTCCTCCCTCTCTTCTCCGGCCGGCTTGTCTCTGGGCTGTCCTTTCCGCGTCTCTGCCATCTGCTTCTCTCCAGTGATTCGTGTTTTCCAAAGTGAACTCATCACATTCATCATATTAGGGTGTGAGTGGCCTGTTCAAGCTATATTTGTATCTTTCAGGAAGACCGGGAGAGCTCAGAAGGAGGAGTCTGCAGGCCCTGTGGGAGGGGAGGGCGAGGGGAGAGAGCGGGGAGTTATTTTGAAGCAACAGAGCTTTCCCGGACGTCTCCGAAATCACCCCAGTCAGGGCCCATCTGGTCTGCTTATCTCAAGGCCAGCCCGGCCTGGCCTGCGCTTACGGCTGCTAGTGCCCACGCCATCTGGGAGCGCAAGGCAGCGGACCAGTGTCAGGTTCTCCCTCTCTCGCGGGGGGAGGCTCCCGTGCAGGCTCCAGCAGAAGCGGCGTTGACCCTGGTGGTTGGCGGCGGCAGGGGCGTCGCTAGCAGCAGCAATGAATCACTGCTGGGCCTGGCTGGCCTCTGACTCAGCTCGAAACTTCTTTCTGCTAACAGGAAGCCAGTAACCAGCGAAGTCAAAAGCTTGCGTGAAACTCTCTGAATTGGAAGCCAGGGGCTGTTTGTGAAGCTTTTGTTTCTAGCACAAGAAGGGAAATCAGCGGACAGCCGCTTGCCCGTCTCCTCTGAGGCAGAGGGACTCAGCCGGTGGAGAGGGATGGGGAGCCAGGGCTCTTCTTTCTTGTGAAGCTAAAAAATTGCACAGGAGTTTACAAAAACAGGAAGCTGGCCATGAGTGCTATTGGAGCTATGTAAATTAACCAGTCGGTTTGGAACGCAGGTGGCAGCCTGCCTGTGGGAAAGACTGGGGAGCGAGTCAGAAGGGGGACAGCCAGGTCACCAAGAGGGGAGGAAGCCGCCTGGCAAGGGTGAGATGGGGGGGCGGGCGTGGCACCCTCCGTGCCCAGGCGTTATCGGCCTAAGGCAGTGCTCGGGGTGGGGCGGGGCGGGGTGGGGGGGAGCAGCGGGGAGGGAGCGCTCTGTCCCCTGGTTGTGTAAGAAAATCAGACGCTTGCACGTTGTTCCAGGAGATTCACGTTTTCTCGTGGATGTAAACAAGGATGGAGCCACGTGTGCTCCGGAGGCCCTTTCGTGTCTGCAGGCTCTGGAAGGCTCTAGAAGGCTGGAGCGCCCCAGCTGGCCGCGGCCCAGGGGCTGGGAACCCGGGCCGTGACCCGAGCCCCCCCGGGGAGGTGGGCTGGGAGCATCACGACTCGGGTCCGTGATTCCCCGACTTTTGGGGGTGGAGGCACTTTACAATATAGCTTGTTGTGTTGGGGTGTATGTATTCTTTTCCCCACCCTTTAAAAGCATCGTTAGTTTTGAAAATATAAGTAACTTGAAACAGACTTTTAGGTTAAAAATATTTCCTGTGTTTTGAAACGCCCACGACAGCTGGGTAGCTGTAAGCTGGTGAGGGCGAGGCAAGGCCTTTGGCGCTGATAAGACGAGGCTGCCGCAGGGGCGTGTGTGCTCCCTCCCCGGTTCAAGTCCCAGCTCTGCGGGCCTCTGGGGGTATCTGATAACAGGTCCTCTCCCCATGCTCATCATTAATCACACTCTCTGCTTCTAATCTCTCTCCCCTCCCATCTGTCATTAACCCTGCCGTCAGAATTAACTTTCTAAAGCAGATTCAATCACGTCACGGCCCCTCCTCAACGATTTTCACGGGGCGGGGGGGCTCCACTGCCTACATACAGTGCAGCACCTCACATGGGGCCAGGAAGGCCTCTTGTGGTTTAACCCTCTGATCCTTTCCAACATGTTTTATCACCTTCTGTTTTATCACCCACAATTTCTGCTACCCGTGATTTTAGGTCATTTCTTGAATATCAACAAACTTCAAAGTTTACTTCATTATCAGTGTGAGCTTCAGGCAAAGCTTGATCCAGCAGCTCACCAATTTTCCCAAGGACCTAATTTTTATCTGATGATCCCAAGAGGGTTGCCAGCAACTCTTGGCCTTTGAGCTTCTTTGTTCACGTCCCAAAGAAAGAGAGAACATCTTGCCCCAGGATTCCTAACACTTCCTCAATCTGCATGGACTTGCTTATGTCATGCCTGCCCCTGCGCCAATCCCTGTGGCCCGTGGGATATGCCGACTGGTGGCCCGATGTCGGATTCCCCCTTGCATTACGAGTTCCCCAGAATTGCGTGGATACCTAAATGGACGTTGAGGCTGTCGGGCAGGAGGAAGGAGGGCTGGGACCTAAGGAAGCATCCAGCACTGTTCACTCTGCACATCTTGCACCTGCACCTGTCCAAGCCTTCCCTCCTGCTGCCTCCGCGAGCATGCCACCTGCTTGCACTGACTGCAGCCCGACCAGTGCAGGGGAGCCCTGCTCCAGTGCGCCCTCTACTGCTCTGTTTCTTCTGTTCTCCTGGCCGGTGGCTCCTTCCTCCCTCTGCCCGGCCGCCCCGTTCCCCCAGCACACGGTGCTCCCAGCTCACGTGTCATGGCACTTACGGACTCTGCCCTGCATTTGTTTAGGAAAAACGTGTTGTGTGTTCCTTTACTCTCACACTCACTTTTGACAAAGATCCGTATGTGTGTGGTTTGGTTTGGTTTGATTGCGTCTTTTTATGCTGCACAGACCCATTCTCTGACGCCAGCCAGGCTTCCGATGGTTCAAGCCAGTCCTGACACCATCTCCCTCGAGTTAGCCTCAGGTCCCACGAGTGGGGGGCTCAGTCCCACAAGACTGTCCCACTTCAAATGCCTGTTACAAGTCCCAGGTTGTCACTTGTACTTCTGACCAACTGGCTGTAAGTGGGGGTGCCCATGACCCCCCCGGGTCCAATAATTTGCTAGAATGCCTCACAGAGTTCACGGAAACACGTGCTTATATTGACTGGCTAACGATCAAGGATGTAGAAGAGGGTGCAGGTGGGCAGCCAGGGGCACAGGCAGCTGGAGCGGGGCCCAGAGGAGCCCTAGGCACAGGGGCCTCTGTCCCTGCAGGTGGGAGGCCCCGCCCTGCTGGCACCTGGACATGCTCACTGACCCGGGGGATGTTTTTGGAGGTGTCATCAGGCAGGCGTGACCTATTGTTCGCTCAGTTTCCAGCTCCTCCCCCCTCTCCAGGCAAGGGGGTGGGGCTGAGGGTTCCAAGCTTCTAATTGTGGCTTCCTCCTCCTGGCGACAGCGCCCATCCAGGAGTCTACTGCGGGTCACACCCATCGGGACAAAAGGCACACCTTCCACCAGAAGTTCCAGGCGCGTGGGAGCTCTGCGTCCGACGCCCTTCTCGGGAGACCACGAGGGTTTTCGGAGCTCTGTGCCGGGAACTGGGGTCAAAGACCAGACACAGGCGGAGCTGCGGGCAAAGTCTCTCTGTCTCTCCGTTCCTTACCGTTTCACAGTGTCACGTCCATTGACTAAAAACCTGGCTTCTGCGTTGAACTGAAAGACCCTTGAGGTAGGAGGACTCACACTCTGTCCTTGTAGGGGCTTCAGAGTGTTGAGTAACCGGCCACGGCGGAGAAGCCCACCGTTGCTGAGCGCTGGCTGTGGGGGAGGCACTTTGCTGGGGGCTTTGCCCGCGTCCCCTCACTTGACCCCAGTCGGCCTTGGCAGTGGTTCTCGGAGGGAGGGGGACCCTGGGATTGCTCCCCGTTCACAGGTGAGGGCCTGGGCCTGGCCAGACGGTCGTGCAGAGACTGGGACCTGGATGTTTTTCTGCTCCAAAGTTCATGCCCTTAAACGTTGCCGTGCCTTATCCTGACCCTTGTCTGCCAGGAGGTGCTTTCCTGGGAGAGGAGTCCCCATGAGAGGTGACCGATGGGAGGAAGGCTGCGTCGGGGGCACGTGAGCTTGGGAGAGCGGTGGGCCGGTGTCGGGGTGTCGCCAGGTGAGTGCAGCAGCCTCGGGGTCTTGTTCGGGGCAGTTTGCCAGAAGAGGGGCTTCCTCAGGGAACCACCTGTGCACAGAGTCCAGGAGCTGCTGAGTATGGCGCCCAGAGACTGAGGCCCTTCCCCCCTGGGCCCTCAGACACCGCGGGGACCAGACCATTGTGCGGATGGAACAGCAGCTAGAGCCCCAAGCGGGCGTCTGCTGAGGTCACATGCGTGGCAGGAGACCGTGGCCAGAGATGGCCGATGAGACCAGAGCTGGAGAAACTGCAGGGACGATGGGGTCCGCAGGCCGGTGGCCCGTTTCCTCGGAGCCCAGCCCCACTGCGCCCGTGGCCCGGACTCCTGGGCCGGGAGAGGGAGCCTGCGCCGGGCAGGTGGCCTGCTGTTCCGCCACGAAGGGCTTGGGGAGGGCTGGGCCCTGGGCCAGGTGAAGGGGACCAGTGATGACTGAGCACCCTGCTGGCATTCTCTGCTCAATTCTTCACAAACAATCGGTTGAAAGAGACTGTCCCCCTTTCACAGTCTTTACCCTGGGGTGTTTTCAGAGGCAGTTTCAACACTGGCAAACATAAAGGAAAGCTTTTCATCCCTTCTCTAACCGCTGAAAGGAAGGGGTGGGTCTAAAACCACGTGCACGGCCAGGAGCGGAGCCAGGGCGACAGAAAGGGTGGAGGGAAGGGTGGGTCGCAGGACGAGCATCTGCGAGTGACAGGTCGAGCTGGGGCCCAGGTGGAGGGGTGGGGACTGTGGAGGATGGGGGGGAGAGGAGGGAAGGATGGCTGGGGGGGGGTGCTGTCTCAGGAGGGGGCGGGATGCGCTTCTGTTCTAAGGCTCAGCTGTTCTGAGCATCCAGGTGTGGGAACCTGGGAGACCTGGGCAAGGATGAAGTCACCGCCCCTTTGGGAGGAGGGTACGAAAGTGGCCGGTCTTTATTCTGCATTCAAAGCCAGTGCCCGACCCAGTCCACAGCCGACCCAGTCCACAGTGCGCTTGGCGCGCGTGGGTGCCCGTGAATCTACTCGTTCAGCAGGGGCTGAGGCGCGGCCCTCACCCTCATCCGAGAGCTCCGACCAGCCGCGCTCGCCTCTGGGCTGGTCCCCGGCTCTCACTTCCCTTCTGTCTTTGCTTCCCACGTGTCCTTCTCCAGTCCCTTTGTCTCTGTTTCCCTGCTCCTCCTCCTCTTCGTCTTCCTCCCCCTCGAGTCGCAGGCTCCCACACTGGCCAAGCCCACGGCCCCCATCGCGGGAGGGCTGTCGCTGCCGGTGACCCCAGACGGGTCTGCTGGTGCTGGGGTTCACAGCTTGAGCCTCCTGGACCCCAAAGAGGCTGCGGCCTCCGGGAGGCCTGGGTGGGGAGGTTGTCTGGCCGAGGGCCCCGGCATGGCACCTCGGTGCCCGCCCACTGCACGGGGCGGGCCCACCCTCCTAATCTTGTCCTCACACAACCCCGACGGGTACACACACACACACACACACACACACACACACACACACACACACGGGGGCCCGGTGTTTAGTGAGGGCGGCTGGAGTGGGTCCTCCCACGGGCAGAAGCAAGCGGGAGGCGCTCCCTGTTGAAAACACAGCTGCTGCCCAGGAGATAGACAGGAAGCCTGGCCCGGCCCTCTGGCAGGGGCCGCGGGGGCAGTGCCAGCTGCTGTGCAGTAACCACAAGCCGGTCGGCAGGCGCAGGCACGCGGCCCGGCCGCAGCCCCTGCAGGCAGCTCCGGGAGCCCCCGGGACCCCCCTGGATGCCCCCACCCCCGGCAGCCCCCTTAGCCCTGGCAAGGCACACAGGCACTCCCCCCTTTGAGAGGGGTCATAGAAAAGGGGAGGGGTCCCAGGCGGCCTGTCTCTGTGTGAGGTGGAGGAGGGGGAGTTGAGAGTAGCTGGCTGTCAGAAAACCCGGTGTGGGCATCAGTGGAGGCGAACTGGATCAAGTTCCTTGCTCTCTTTCAGACTCAGTTTCTTCGTCTGAGAAATGGTGTTAGACCTTGGCCTGTTTCCTCGCTGGGTTGTTTTGAGGATCGTATGGTCAGGTGATGCCATCCAGAGTCAGAGCTGGGTTCGGACCCTGCTGCTGCCACGTGTCAGCCGACCTTGGCCTCTGTTTTCTCATCTAGGAGGGGCAATGCTAGAGCCTGCCTCCCGGGGTCATTTGAGGCTGGAATGAGCTCAGTTCAGTGCCTAGCTTATTGCGCATTGCTCAATAAATGTTACCTCTCATCAGCAAGTGAGAAAATTGCGTGTAGGCATTCCGCACACTGTGGTGTGTTCTTTAAGAGGTGGGATCTTAGTCTTACGCAGGAGAAAATTCTGGGTAGATGGGTTCCAAGCGGCAGTTTGTAAAGGGTCCCCTTCCAGTCTCCTTTCCCCTGAGAAGGCTCCATTTTTCTTGCGGGTCTCCTCCCCTTCAGCAAGAGGCTTCTCCTGCAGTTTCCACCCTCTGCGTCCTGTCTCCCCTCCACCGGGCCGGATCCCAGGTCCCCTTTAGAGCTCAGTTCTCCGAGAGGCCTGTGTCCCCGGTCCAGCTCCGCCTTCCTCCTCTGCCCAGAGGCGGTTGCGAATAGTCCTCACACGCCAGTATTCATCGTTTCAGATGCTTGCGTCCAAACCCCGCACGCGAGCTCTGTGGCCTTGGGTGAGTAACTGAGCCTCAGTTTCCTCATCTGGAAAATTGGAATAACAGTAGCTACTTCACAGGGTTGTGAAGATGATCAGACGAGAGCCTACTCCCGGGCGGTCGGCAGGAAGCGTTCGCACACTGCAAGGCCTCAGCAGCGTCGGCCGTGCTGCAGGCCGTCCGGTGTGAGCGTTCTGGCTCCTCCCCGCTCGAGAGCAAGCTCCTTTGGAGAAGGCCCCGTCTTCCATGTTCTCCCCGTGCTACGAATTGTGCCGTGTGTGCACTGGGTGCTCAGTGCAGGCCTTCAGTACAGTTTCCCCCGTTCTGGTCGACTCATCTGTAGATTTGCAGAATGTTGCCACCTGGCAGTGATGGCACATGGTTTTCCTGCACTTTTACGGGAAAGAGAAACATCTACGTACTCGGCATTGTGCTGGGCCCGTTTACGTGTTGTCTCACTGAGCTTTCACAAGAGCATCGAGTCCCTGGGGCAGGTGTAATTACCCCCGCTCTGCCAAGGAGAAAAGCAGGGTTGAAAGAGATTGAGTAACCTGACCTAGATGACAGCTGCCAGGGTTGGGGATCACACGCAGGTCTGTTTCCCTCTGAGGCTTGTTTTGTTTTGTTTATACTGTTTGTGCCTTTCAGGCACACGTCGATAGAGAACGGAGTCCAGACTTTAATTTTATTTACTGGTTACACCGACACCTACAAATTCTCAGTGTTCAGCAAAACTGGGGAACTGTCGATGGGCTGCAGAAGGTCCGGAGGTGCCCAGTACTTTGAACAGGCCAAAGCTTCAACTGAAATTGGTACTTTGGTCCCTGTGACACGTGGCACTCAAAGTTTGGTTATTTCTCTTGAAATGATTGGCTTGTGCCTTGTTGGCCCCTTTGAGAGTGCACTCTCTCTCCTGCCCTCGGTCGGAAGGATTTTGGTGCCCAAGGCCCATGGGCATTTTCCTTATGTCAAGAAGCATAGGTTCACAGAATTTCGACCTCTTGTGATCTTTTGGGAACGAATCTTTAGGGACTCGCCAGTCTCTTGGGAATGACATTCCTTTGTGGCAAAGGCAGCTGGGTGTGCAACGCCACCACGAATTCAGCAGAGGAACGCGGCGGGTGTGAGTCACCGGCCCAGGGCCACATTCTCATGCACTGCACACACACGCACTCCCTCCGCACACGGCCGCTCCTCTTTGTCCGGGAACAGTGGGTGGGAGACATTCAGGCAGAGGCCTGAAGCCAGCACATTGCGTCTTCACTGGCTTTGCTCCACGCCGCCCCCCGCCCCCACCACCCCCGGCTCGGCCTCAGCTCTGCCAGGCTGAGGACTCTGCTCCGCAGCACCCTGCTTCTGGCCTCCGTCAGCGGGCCATCCGCTGGCCCTCGTGGGCTCTGCTGCTGGGTGCACCGAGCGTTCGTCTGCGTTACTCCTCGGGGCATTTGCGCTGGGGAAGGGCAAGGCCTTGCCCCTTCTGCCAAGGCCTTCCCTGGAGTTGCCCGGACTCAGGGTCGGAAGGGGGAGCCAGCAGGCTGCCATGTCTGGCAGCACCCTTGGGAAACGTTTTGACAGTACACCCTGTTGTGTCCTGGAATTTTACATGTGGTAAGCAATGACACTGTGCCTAGAGTCGGACCAGGGAGGGGATGATCACATTTTAATTCGCAACAAGTGCTTTTATTAGTAAAACAAGGAAGGCACCAATTCCCAACACAACTCAAGTGTTTATCATCCCAGACAGAAGGAAGCAAATAGAGAGCTGGGGCAGCAACTCAGAAAAGAGGCACATGAGAGGCCAGGTGTTAGCATTAAGACGCAGAATTTAGGTCCAGACAGACTGGGTGACCCTGGCAGGTTAAGTGTATGAAACCCGTCTGGAAAAAGTCCAGCCCTTGTTAATATGACGAGAGTGGTTTGTGCGACATCGATGTGACCTGGCAGCCAAGGAGAGTGGACTGGAACGCGCATGTGTGAACAATGACGACTTCCTGTACCAGTGAGTGGGGGCAGTAGACGCCACTGAGTGAGCGTGTGTGCTCTGTGGCCATCGGATTAAAACTGACCGAGCAAGTAGAGCAACAAATCTGCATTAAGTTTGTGTTCAGCCTGAACATTCCTCCGCGGAAACTATCCGGATGATTCAGAAGGCCACAGCTATGGGCAACTGGTGATTGGCTGCTTCATCACGACAATGCGCCCACTCATGCATCATGTCTTACGCAGGGTTTTTTTGCGAAACCTCAAATGACCCAGTTGACTCAGCATCCCCACAGCCCAGATTTGGTGCCCTGTGACTTCCTGGCTCCTCCTGAAACTAAAAGCACCTTTGAAAGGGAAGAGATTTCAGAACATCCATGAGATTCAGGAAAAATCGACAGAGGCAGCTGATGGCAACTGGGAGAACCGTGTGAGGTCCCAAGATACGTACTCAGAAGGGGACTGAGGCGTCATTGTCCTGTGCACAATGTTTCTTGTATCTCGCATCTTCCTCAATAAATGCCTCTATTTTTCATGGTACGTGGCTGGATACCTTCTGGGCAGGCCTCATAGCATGTCCTCCATGTTTCTGTTTTCTCATTTGCAAAGGAGGGTGGCAACAGGACATGTCTTCCGGGTTTGTCATGAGCATTAAATTAACTGAATCAATAATTTAAAAGTGATTAAAATGGTGGCTGGCATATAATAAATTCTATGTAAGTGTTCGTCAAATATACACATGTGTTTGATCTTTCTCTCGTTTTTCTCCCCGTGGTGTTAGATGCTGCAGCCCGATTTGTCAGCTGGGGCCCGCTGTTTAGCCAGAAGGTTTGGGCATGACCTAAAAAACGCACGCCCCCTCCCTGTGCCTGCTCTGCCACCGAGGGCGTCTCCAAGATGGGAGTTCCCGGCGTCTGGCTGCCCCAGATGTTGGAGTTTTGCTGACCTGCAGAAGCCTCCCGGGCTCACCGGAACGAGAGACCGTTTGATATTTACACCCGAAGGGCTGAGCCTTCTCACTGAACTGACCACACGCGCACGCACGTGCAGAGGCCATTGCTATGTGCGGTGCGCCGTGGCTGCCGGGAGATGAACAAGGCCCTGTCCCCGCCCGGGAATGTTCTTTCTGTTCTGTGTGCAGTGAGTCCTGACTGAAGGTTGTCAACAGTTTCTGCAGCTTTAAGTGGAATGACGTACAACGAAACCGATCTCACCATAGGCTAACTGATGTCTGTAGACAAGGGTTAGGGTCCGATGACATCTTATCACGGTTACAACCGAGATGCGTCGAGCAAGACGTTATTCGAGGACCGGCTGTCCACGTCTGACGCCTGCCCGCGCTCGAGGGGCCCGGCTTTCCTGGACGGCTCTTCATGGTTTGACGGGCCCTTCTCTCCGAAAGCTGAGTCCCTGTCCCCGAGTGCCGGGAGAGGGCCGTCTGCCCCGCCAGGGTAACAGACGAGAGGCCTGTCCACCTCAGGCCCCGATTTCCTGCGGCACGTAAGCATCGTGGGCACCCAGGCCTGAAGCGTGTGCGGCAGTGGACAGTTTTATAAAGTAGAAGCTGGGTGGTTTGAGACAAAACATGTTCTTCCCCACCGCCCCCGCAAACACAAGCTTCTCCTTCCTTCCCAGTTCTCCAGATATGTTTCTTTTTAGACGATGGACATTAAAGCCAGATGTGGGGCTGCTCGCACTTACACCGTGGCACAGGCTCCGACCTGGGAGAACTGTGCATGCCCTTGGCATTTGCAGCAGCGGCCTCTCCCAGCAGAGCCAGAAATATCGGAACAACCCGTGGGCCCCCACACTGCATTCGTGTCTGTCTTCACCGGGATTCCTGAGATGTGGCTTTCAACGTGATGGCCTGTGACTTGGCTGGCACTCTGTAGAGTGGGGCCATGGACCACTAGTGACACTGTGTAGGGATGCTCTGTGACAGAGCGTTGCTGTAGCTTTCCGCCTGGCCCCGCTGCCAGCGCCTCCCTGCTCTAAGCCAGTGAACACATCTTTGCCGGTTTAGTTTTCCGAAGCACGGCTCTAATCAAACCACCTTTCTCCCATAGAACTTCCGCGGCTCCCCGCTGCCTACCTGCCGTGTTGAATGCACGAATAGCTCGATGGCCTTAATGCCGTGTCCTTTAAAACGTGACCTCTCCTGTGCAGCTTCTCCCGCCAGTTACAGACATTCCTGTGCTCCAGCCCGTGAGAGCCCATCGGCCGCATTTACTGAACACTCATGTGTAAGGTGCAGGGTTGGACCCTGGGGGTTCAAAGATAAAGATTTAAAAAAAAATTTTTTTAAAAGATTTTATTTATTTATTTTTAGAGAGGGAAGGGAGGGAGAAAGAGAGAAAGAGAGAGAGAAACATCAATGTGCGGTTGCTGGGGGCCGTGGCCTGCAACCCAGGCATGTGCCCTGACTGGGAATCGAACCTGCAATGCTTTAGTTCGCAGCCCATGCTCAATCCACTGAGCTACGCCTGCCAGGGCAAAGATAAAGATTTTTATCAGGAAGTAACTTACAGTTTTGCAGTAGAACAAGAAGTTTGAGCAAAACCTGGAGGTAAAATGTGTCAAAGAGCTGAGTAGTCCCTCATGTCCACTCCTGGGCAAACCTGGTTTGAACAGCAGCCTGGTGGTCACTGCTGGCTGATGGGCGGTGACTCTGCCTCTCGCCTTTCCCCCAGTCTGTGCTGGTTGAGCGCTTGGTTCGCCTCGTGCGACAGCCGCCCTCCCCTCGGGACCCGGCACCTGACTGCACGCAGCCCCTCCTCCCAGACTGTGCTCCTGCTGCACTCAGGCTCTCGTCATCTCCCCCGGGACCCCTGTCACCGTCTCCCAAGTCGTCTCCCTGTCCCCAAACAGCTGCCAGAGTGGTCTTCTCACAAGTCCCACATGACGGGGTTCTCCCCAGGGGGGAGCCGCCATGGCTGCCCCTTGGCCACGGGGTGGACCCAAAGCCCAGGCTCCGGGCGTGTCTGTGCTGCCCCCGCCCAGGAGCCTCGAGTGCTGGAACCATGGCGGCGGCGCCTCGGCCCTGCCTGCGGGGCAGCCTCCGGGCCTCGTCCGCCCTCAGCGCTTCAGTGGACAGTGCCAGTGTCCTCCGGTGGCCAACCCAGGGGGCCCAGGCTGGGCCAGCCTGGAAAGGGGACCTGAGAAGGTGGCGGTGTCTCCTCCTGGATGCTCTCCTGCACCGGGCCGCAGGAAGCATGGAGGCGGCCAGGCCAGCCGCCGGCTTCCGGGCTTCGGGCTCTGCTTGTCTGAGTCTGCTTCTCGTGACTCCCGCGGTGTGGAGCTCTCCAGGGGCGTCCACTCTTTGGGCATCTCTGGGCCACACTGGAAGAAGGAGAGTGCTCTCAGCCACACGTTAAATACATCGCAACATGTAATCACAAAAAAAGATCTCATAATGTTTCACGTAAATTTACAATTTTGTGTTGAGCCGTGTTCACAGCCTTCCTGGGACCCATGTGGCCTGGGGGCCGCAGGCTGGACACCCCTGCTAGGCTTGCTGCTTGCCCACCCTTCTCCTTCCTCCTCCTTTAAACTCAGCGACTGAACTCTGGACCCCTTCCCCTTGGCTGACTTGGAAGTCTCGCGGTGGTCCATGGGAATTGCCCCCTGGGGGACTTTGCTTCTGGGAAGGGTGGACAGGAGGAGGAGAGGCTGGAGGGTTCCGCGGGAGCCGAGTGGCCACATGGTCCGTGCAAAGGCGTGGAGACCTCCCCCTCTGCCGGTGGGGAGGCAGAGAGTTTTGCGTGGGGGTCACACAGGGTCAGATGTGTGTTTCAGGACCATAGCCCTTGGGAGCCGGGAGCCAGGGAGGATGGTTGGAGGCTAAGAACTGAGGTGTGCGATGACAAGGACCGGAACCTTCCAGGGGTCCTGGTGCCGTGGGAGTCAGGTGGGAAGCCGAGAGGAACCATGAGGGGAAGTGGATCCCAGGATCGGCAACCGGAGAGTATCTCGCCGTTCCAAGGGGATTCCGGAGCCAGCGGCCCCTGCACTGGCTCTGCAGGGCTGCGCCCCCTGGTGGGTGGGGAGGCCCGGTGCTGACCAGTTTCCCCGGCCCCTGGCCCTGTCTGCAGAGGGGAGAAGGGGAAGGAGGAGAGCCATTTCACTCCATCGCAGGTCCAGCACTTAAAAAAGCCTGGCTGGACACGCAGTAGAAGCCAGAGGATGTGGTTTGGGTTGTCCCTGAAAAAGATCCCTATTTACGTGTGCAAGGGTATTTTCAGACGAGGCTTCCTGCGCAGAAGGGGAGGCTGTCCCCTCCACAGGGGCTGCTCCTTAAAGGCACCTTGTGGTGCAGCCGCTCAGGGCCGGGAGGGGATGGCTGGCGCTCAGGGCTTCGTCTCAGTCGCAGCTGTGGTTGGGCCCACAGCTGCTCGTCACGTCTCCAATCCCAGTTCAGCCTGCAACTCTTGGTGTGATGTTAGCCGAGACACTTCCTGTTCCCCAGACTCTCCTTAGCAATCTGGGCGGCACTCCTCCGTCTTCTAGAATGCAACAGGAGGTGCGATTAGTTTGTGTTTGTGAGGCGCTCAGAGGCCCCCAGGCGAAAGCTGCTGGGCAAAGGGCTGCATTTTCTCCCTGCGAGTGGGACCTGTGGTTTTGCAGTCTAGTTCACGCGTGGTTGCTAAGGAGGCGGAGCGGTTTTCGCGATTGCAGAGTCCGGTTCTGGGCGGACCCTTCCTTCCTTCCTTCCTTCCTTCCTTCCTTCCTTCCTTCCAGTTTCTTCCCTTCTTCCAAAATGTTTTTTAGGAAGACTTTTTAAAAATATGGAGCTGTGCTGATATAAATAGCAGCCATGTACCTGCCCACCAATCAGAATAAACAAATATTGACATTTTTTTTGCAATGAGCAAGTTCTATTAGCATTTAAAAATATTTTTATCGGGAGGTAGAGGAGGGAAAAGGGGGGACAGATGGAGACAGAAGGAAGCGACTCGGGAGCTGAACACAGAGTGCGATATGCAGGTGACGTGTAGTGGGACTGGCACCCGGAATCTGTGTGGTTTTGTTAACCAGTGTCATGCCAACACATTCAGTGAAAAATAAGCAGGTGCCCTGGCTGGTGTGGCTCAGTGGATTGAGCGAGGGCCCGTGAACCAAAGGGTCGCCAGTTCGATTCCCAGTCAGGGCACACGCCTGGGTTGTGGGCCAGGACCCCAGTAGGGGGCGTGCGAGAGGCAACCGCACAGTGATGTTTCGCTCCCTCTCTTTCTCCTTCCCTTCCCTTCTCTCTAAAAATAAATAAAATCTTTTGTAAAAAGGTAAAAATACTTTTGTCTAACAACACACCTTGAGCTACATTTGGTTTCCGACCTGCTATGTTTTTAACATAAAGGAAACGAAATACTTGTGTAAGCCCCGCCCCGTCCGCTGGCCGTCCTCTGACCCCAGGGGCGGCACCGTCAGGGGTGTGGGCCCTGCACTCCGTGAACGTGTGCCCGTGCTGTGCCCACGTGTGACTCTAGCTTCTCCCCGCGTGGAACAGCACCGACCCGTAGACAGACGGGAGTGCGCAGAGCATGGGGCCTGGAGTCAGGGGGGCCAGGGCTTGAGGCCTTGCCTGGACCCCTTCTGGCCTGTGTCCTTCCGCTTCTTTGGGCCTCAGTTTCCCCGTGTGTAACCTGGCAACGATTAGTTGCCAGTGTCACCGTTAACACTGAAGACAATGGCAAATACATGGTAACGAACATTCTTTGTCCATTGATGTTTTTGATCTCCCTGTCTCTGTTTCTGCCCTTTGGAAGGAGGGGTCCTGCCCTTGGTCTGCCTCACACACCCTTGGCCGCAGTTCCCGTGCCTCCTCGCTCGGTGTAGAGGCTCACTGGTTGTTTCTGGGAGAAACGATTGTCCTGTGCTCCCGGAGTCACCACGCTGCTCCCAGCCCTGGTCCCGATCCCCGCAAGGGCTGGCGCCGAAGGGACTGTGTTCCCAGTACACGCGGGTGACTCGGGCGGGCCAGCTCTCTGGGGACTCTGGCCAGGTTCTGCCGTCATCTTTTCAGGTCACATGGTCGCTCGATGCAGCGGCGGTGATGGGGGGCAGTGTCACCTCACTGCACGGGATTTCCTTAACGGTCGTGGCATTGGCAGTGGTGACATTTCAGGTGCTCGTTTGAAACACTGTGCCCTGTCCACGGTTGCATGCTCGCCCTGCAGTCGACCTCCCGGCCCACCACGGTGGGAGGTCGGTCTCCGGCAGAGCACAGGACACACAGGATAAAGGGAACACAGGACACGGGAAACAGAGGACACAGAACACAGTGGGCACAGGACAGATGGGACACAGGAAACACAGGACACAGGGAACGTAGGGAACTCAGATCCCAGACACAGGCAAGGAAAGGACAGCAGGGGGCGCCAAACCCGCACGCTTCAGCTCCGAGACGGAGCCGGGTGAGCGGCAGGCTCTCGGACTCCTATTAGCCTGAGTGCTCCTTACTGTGTTTCATGGGATTTGGCCGCTCCTTCGCATTCAAGTTAGATTCTACAGGAGCACACACAGCGCACCCTTTGTGAAAACGACAACCGGGCCAGTGCCCCCCTCTCCGCCCCCCTCCTCCTGATTCTCTGCTGGAAAAAAGAGACACAAAGCGGCCCAGAGATGGGAGGAGTCCCCAGGAGGGGCCTGTGAAGGTCTGGGGCTCGGGGGCCCTGCCTCCAAGCCTCAGAAGCTGTCACCCCCAAAGAGCCACCTTATTCAGCATCCTTTGGTTTGCATTTGTTCGTCTTACAGCAGGAGCCGGAGACCAAGTGCTGTGGACCAAACGCACGTGTCCCCGCGCCCCCTGCCCCCTTCCTGCTGAGCCCTAACCCGCAGGGTGATGGTGATTGGAGGCAGGGCCGTGGGGCGGGGCTTAGTTCCGGAGGGCGGGGCCCTCACCAGCCGCGTTAGTGAAGGCTTCCTTGCCCCTACTGTGGACACAACGCTAAGAATGGGGAAGCGCTCGCTAGACCCTGAATCTGCTGGCACCTGGATCTTGGACCCTGCAGCCTCCAGGACTATGAGAGAGAAATGTTTGTGGTGGAAGCCGCCCAGCCCGTGGTGTCTTTGTCATAGGGGCCTGAGTGGGCCGGGACACGGGGCAAAACCCGAACTGAAACATGTCCGAGGCCTGTTGTTTGCTATAAGGGCTTTACAATATTTTAGTTTATATCTGACCGAGATAAGAATAATTATGGTCTCAGACCCGGGCGCTAGGTCATCTATCCTACAGCATTGACATCCCACCTCTCCGATTTTGACATACAAATCTGTACTCCGGCTAAATTATTTGCTCAATATTTTGAAATCCACTCATGTAGAACTCACATAAGCTGGTTTTAAAAGAAAACCACAACCACCAATAGAAAATTAGTATTCTTCAAACCCATGTTAAGATGAAGAATTAACATTAAAACAAGTCGCCTGGTACACCTCCTTCACTTTGGACATGGGCCATTAATGGGACTCGCCCGAATCTCTGTGAGTGGCAGGACTGGGTGTAGCTGGCGTGTTTCCTCCCTGGCACACAGCCTCGGCCCGGGGGGCCGGAAAGAGTCTGGTCAAACTACGGGTAGGTCTTACGCCCTGGGCTGCTCTTTGATAGAGTTGTGAAGATGCAGTGCCCAGCCCCCCTTTTCAACATTTCTGCTCTTGTTGTGGAGCGATGAAGTTCTCGGGAAGTATGGGGTGTCCGCGTGGGGACCCGGGCCCTCTGAGGGTTGCGTCGTTTGGAGCAGGGCTCCCCAGCCTCGGATCGCCCCATGATGGCAGGGAGAAGTGTGCAGCACATGCCCCCCACAGCAGTTTTAGACACGCACTGCTGTGCCGCCAGTACATTCTGCTTTTCGTAAAGTATGCAGAACAGTTCGGAAAAGACGTGGTAAAGATCATGCGTGTCAACAGTCTTGTTCAGTGTCTTGTTAATTGCACTGGTCGCTAGCTAGTACCTCAGGCACCCCGTATACTCAGGATTCTGTTCCTCATTACCAACAGTCAAGGCGAAGCTGCATTTCACACAGTCTTCTGGGCAACTTAAAACCCTCTCGCTGACTCGGGGAATCTGATTATTATACTGCCATCGTTTTCCTCTGTAGCGTGGCTGACTCAGAACCGGTCAGGCCTGCCCTTTTCTTGTTGGCCACTGTCTCCCGTTATTACTTCAATCTGTGTCTTTAACAAAAAAAAGTAAGCCTTTGCCCATTTGGGGGATGGTCAGTTCAGTGACAAACTAGACCCACCCTATGATGCCACTCACCTCGGCTTGTCCAAAGTAGGTCACATGTGCTAGGTGGGAGCCCGGAAGTGAAGTCACCACTGTCAGCCCCTGTCCCTGCTCCCCCCAGGGTCCCTCAGGACCCCCGTGGACTTGTGGTCACTGACGAGTGGACCAGGCGAAGGTGAGTATTCATGGAGCTTAGCTTATTTGGTGTGTAAGCATATACAAAAAGGAGTATATGGAAATTTCATCACTTCCTCCTTCGCCCCATGGACCGTCCCTTGCGGCCCACACGAGCGAGGATGGTAGACGCAGAGACGCGGCCCCAGCGTGCTGGCTGGCACAGGGAGCCCTTCCCAGTCCAGCCTCCGTCGCCTTTCTGGCTTCACGCTCAAGCAGGAAGCCTGTCCCTTGGCCACGTCTGCGGACTTTGCAGGCACCCTCTTTTTCGTTGTACTTTCAGAGGCTCAAAGCACAGGGGCCTGGTTCTTAGGTCCCAACGCAAGGGTGCTGCTGCCATGAGGAGTCATGGGCGTTCTGCCTTCTGCGTTGGGCCTGCGCAGACGCCGCACACTCCAGACCGCGGGGCCTGGTCCTGCCCGTCTCTCCAGGCATCTCCAGGCACCGGGGCCCCCGCCTGAGGCTGCGCAGCAGGGGCTGCAGGGCTGCTGGGCGCCTGCCACAGACAGCAGCTCCGAACAGATGGGGCAGACTGCTGACTCCGTGGCACATTTTCCTCCCCGGTAGGGCTCCGTTTATGTAAGCTTCAGAAACAGGCAAAACCAGTGTGTCGTGTTAGAACTCCGGTGAATGGGGACGTGGGGGGAGGGAAGTGGGGTCATGATCGGGAGGCGGCACGCAGGGCTTCTGAGTGTCTTGGCGGCCTTCTGCTTCTTGACCTGGCGATGGCCTCACTGCCGCGCGCACCTTGTGGCAATTCACTGGGCTGGAAGGACAGGATTCCTCCATTTCTCTGTACGTCAGTGACATCTTTAAAAAGTCTTCTTATCATAGACTATGAAAAAAGAGACATGGTGTGAGAGCACAAACCACCGATTCATTAAAATATTAATGGTCCCCTGGGCCGCAGGGCAGGAGGCAGATTGGCTGAGCCTTTCCACTCCAGGCCACAGTTTTGAATCTCCCGGATGCGGGTGGGGGAAGGATACCGCAGAGACCATTAAGTTGAAAAGGAGGGTAGAGTCCTCAGGCTGCTGCTGAGAAACAGAGCTCCCAGGCCCGAGTCTGGAGTAAGGACGCTATCTGTTGCTCTGGTTAATATCCCATGAAATGACCGAATGCAGATCAACCAAGAGCAGTAAGCACTGAGTTTCTGAGGCGGCTGTTTTGCCAGAGAGATCTCAGCATGGCCACCGCGGGCCTGCGGTCGCTCAGCCCGAGTCCCAGCCCCACACCACCTGGAAGCAGGTCACTGACAGGACCCTCCCCGGTGTCCCTGCTCAGGTGTGGAGACGGAGGGCAGTGAGCAGAGGGGGTGCTCTTCAAGAGCGGGGCCAGGTGGTCAGGTGGGCTGGTCGGGGACCTCACTCACTGCAGGTGCTCAGGTCCCTGCTGTCCTCCGCCGGTGGAACGTGAAAGGGGTCGAAGACTCCCGACACCACACGGTGTTTCCCCTTCTCATTTCTGAATGGGGGACCCTGTCGTACCGCCCCATGTTCACTCCCATGCGCAACAACGCTGTTGTATACGGTGGGGCGCTCCCACCTTCCATCAGCCTGATGGGTGTCCAACCAGGAGGCGCCTTATCTTGAGCTCATGGGGAGGGGTCTGCGTGACCCAGAGGCCCCGGTCCTGGAGCCAGGTACGAAAGCGGGCCACGATGTGGGGTGGTCTGGGACCAGAGAGGGCTCTCATTCACCACGCGTCTGTGGAAGGAGTCCTGGCAGCCGCTGAGATCATTTTAATCCTGACAGACAGAGACAAAGTGCTTTTCCTGCTGCAGGAGGCTTGACCTTCATTTCACAAAAGCACCGGTGAGAGGGCTGTTGGGTGAAACCGTGAACTTGGCCCGGTGGTTGTCACTAAGGCAACAAACTCTCGAAGAGGGACTGACATGGATAAATCCGGGGTCAGGTGAGGGCTGGCACTGATAACACAGGTGCTGGGATCGGGTTCCCTTTGGCGGACATCCTGTTACCAGCGACTCCACTGTATTTATAACACAGCGTGATTCACCGAGAGCCTATAATGGATGTTATATGGAATTTCATACAATGTCCTTTCTGAAAAGACTTTTGAAGTCATAGGAAACTGACCCTGGTATACTACAAGGCAATAAAAACAGGTCCCAGTACGTAGAGTTTGTAAAACCTTCTATGGACGTATATGTGTATACATAAACACAGATACGTTTATCTATATCTGTACATCTACACACACAACTAACAGGAAAACGTCCTATATTAACAGTGGTTACCTTTAGGTTACGGGATTACAAGTGGTTTAGGTTTTCTTCTTTTGTATT